CGCTTTGCCTACCTTTGTTATAAGAACGGAGGAGGTGAGTGCTGGAATTACTTACTTCTAGTTTGTTATCTTGTTCCCTGTTTGACACAAAAGATATGTAGTGTTCTGCATTCACTTGGTTTAAAGATATTTTGATCTGTAGGAATATGTTGTGTAACCAGTCTTTCCACCTTGTATTTAAATGCGCTGCTGCAACATCACACTGCAGATTTTGGTGTTGAAAAAGATTAAAACTCCTCCATCACAAAAACACAAGGATTTTTGTATTCCACCTTTAAAATACATTTATAAAGAAAGTGCTTATTTGTATTTTAATCTTCATTTCATTCAAAAGAAAGAAACATACTCATTTTGCATCAGGATTATTTGGCTAGAAACATTTCTTTACATTGAAAATGTGTTTTAATTAAACCATTTGCACCAGTCTCTATCCTTCTACATTGTTTGACAGCATATTGAAGACATCTGAGTGAAATGTTCCTTTAATCTGTGGGTTTATACCAGGTGCCTTCTTCATCCCGTACCTCATCTTCTTGTTTGCGTGTGGGATCCCAGTCTTCATCCTGGAGACTGCTTTGGGTCAGTACACCAGTGAGGGAGGTATCACTTGCTGGAGGAAGATTTGCCCTTTGTTTGAAGGTAATCTACCAAGTTTCTTAAGAAAGGTCATCTAATATATGTCTAAAGATATTAAAAACACTTCATATATTGATTTATTTAGCACTTTTTTGACATCATAAAGAAGTTTCTTTTGCTCTGTATAGGTTTATATGTGAGGGAGAATGCATTTATACAATATGTTGAATGTTGATATGTAATGAGCTACAGTATGTGTGTTATTCTGAAACAAGTTGCCTGTGTGCCACACATAATACATATAAAGCTTTATGAAGAAAAAGCACTTACAACACCTACATATCTTTCTACAACATGGAGTGAAATGAATTTCAGATATTGTGTGTATAGTATGCTTGTTTCAGCGTGGTCTTCACTGTGTGAATTTGTGTACATACAGTAGATTTCACTTTTGTGTGCATGCCATTTAGATGTGCGAGGGTGATGAAATGGCTGGAGAACAACCAACTCCAGCTAACATCACATTTGTCTAACGCTTTTAGTCTTTAGCTGCCTTTAAATAAGTCTCTAGTGAGCCATGATCATAACCCATAGAGGCCACAGCTGGTGAGGATTCACAAGAATTTTACCTAAATTGATCATATTATAATTTACCATGCTTGTAATGTAATCCACTGTGATATAGTCATTTTAAAGGGCAGAAGCAATCAGTTGAGGTTTAATCATTCATCCATTCATTCATTTTCTACTGCTTAGTCCCTGAACGGGGTCACGGGGGGTTTAATCACACACTGCAAAAACTAGATTTTTCCTGGGTTAAATTATGCTTCTCTGTTTATAGTGAATGGAACTGTCAGGGAGTTTTTGTCACTATATCAAAAATGATTTCTAAACTACAGCAAATCCTTACATGTGAAGCTGCAAGTATTGCATAGTAAATCAGATTTGTAATGTTCTCAGACTGCTGTCGAACACATTGCTGCAACCAAACAAAAGACTCATTGCAGCTCCAGGGCTGCTGCTTTGTACACCTCAGTCAATGCAAAAAATGTGATGTTTTCTGTTTCAGGAGTGGGTTATGCCACCCAGGTGATTGTTGCTCTGCTGAACATCTACTACATCATTGTGTTAGCCTGGGCAATCTTCTACCTGTACAACTCATTCACCTGGGACCTGCCCTGGTCCTCCTGCAACAACACTTGGAATACAGGTAAGTCACTCTACATGTCTAGTCTATAACAATGTATCTAATCTGGTATAGCCAGGCCTATGTTTTGACAAGCTTGTGGAGCACAAATAAGAAACAAGGTCATTTAGAGACGGGGAACTGATGGCAGAGCCTGCTGCTTCTTAGATTTTTTTTTTTTTTCAGTTTTCCAAGGTCTAATTGGCCTGTATTTTGTTATTACAACTTTTCTGCTGTTCACCTTCATCATTTCATTTATTTTTATTTTTTTTATTTTTTTCTTTAAGGACTGAGTGTTCCTGCAACATTTCAGTTTTGCCTCAGCGGCATTTTTTCACTTGTCTGTGTGGAACTTGGAAACCTCAGAGAGAACTTCACAGGACTGAATGTCTTTTTGTCTCTTTTTCATTCAAGATACCTGTATAGAATTTCAGAGGGGGAACAGCTCCATCAATTACCATGAGAATGCCACCTCTCCTGTCATTGAGTTCTGGGAGTAAGTGCCTTTTTATCTGACCTCAAAGGGCTTTATGTGCCAGCAGGTTCACCAAATGTCCATCTTTAGACTAACTTCATCTTGTATTTCTTAAATCATTTCACATTTTTGCATGTTTTAAAAATATATGGACAATATAATATACTAAATACTGTAGGCTCAAAAGTTTTGTTGTTTTTCTACATGACCTTTTGAATTGCATATTTGCTTTTTAGCTCCTCAGAGCCCACATGCTGCACTGGAAAAGTTGCAAACATACTGTAAATATACTGAATCGAGTATAAAATGACTTCTAAGACTAGATAAAACATTTCTAATGTTTATCCAATGTGTGTATCCCAGGCGCAGAGCATTGAGAATTTCCTCAGGTATTGATCACATTGGCTCTCTGAACTGGGACTTGACTGTCTGTCTGGCCATTGCCTGGGTCATCTGCTACTTCTGTGTCTGGAAGGGAGTCAAGTCCACTGGCAAGGTGAAAACTTACCTTCATTCACTGTGGACAAACATTTTATGTAGGATTAAGACTCATTATATTATTGGTAATATTCTGCAGCATTTTCATTTAGAAACATTTTGCCCTGGGTTTGAGTCACATTTGTTTGCTGTGTTTCTAGGCCTTTCCTCACACATGCATGGGGTGATTGATTTTATACAGTATGTTTATCTGAGAAAATAATGTTCTATTTTGGGATAAATAATACAACACCTGGGCACTTAGAATAATCAGTGTTAGCCTCTTTGGCTGCACGGATGAAGACTGACACCTACAGAATCACAAAGTTCATCAAATGAAAATCCAGAACTCCAAATGTAAAGGCAGCAAGATTCTGTATTATGTTTATTTTAGTGCAAAACCTTATAAAGCGCTGTTACTGATATAACACAGATTTGCCTAAAGAAATTAATGAAAATAGGACGGAGGGAGAAACTGTCATAAGTGGTGGTTGATGACAAAATGCTGCCATATCCCTGCAGGTGGTTTACTTCACAGCCACCTTTCCCTATGTTATGTTACTGATCCTGCTGATCAGAGGGGTCACCCTGCCAGGAGCCTCCAGGGGAATTTACTTCTACCTCTACCCAGACCTGGGACGACTGTCTGACCCACAGGTAGGCTGCTAAAGCATTGCTCTCATACATGCAGTTATGTTGAACTTACAAAGAAGTACAAACTCACAGATGTGCAAGTGGCAAAAGCTCAACCTTATGTCTGTCAGTATTTAATGCTTTTTAAAATGCTCTGATATTTTAATAAACTAAAATGTAGCTGGACTGCTAACAGGTTGGCTATTTTAACCTAAAAGCTGAGAATATTGTCAGCTCAGTTTGTTTGCTGTCCTGAAGTGGCCAAAAAGCCAGTTATACCTAGTCAGCTTTGCGCGTCTATCCATTTACTCCTATCAGTTATGGGTGAGTTTTGAAGTAAGGAGTTTCAGGATTTGATAAATGCTTTGGGAGCTAGATTGTGTTTTTAAAAAAAAGAGATGATGTAGTGTGAGTGGAGGTGAATTCTTTCAAAATAAATGGTAGATTGGATGTCGTGTGAAAGTCAAGCTCACAGTTGTCATCACTGAGTGAAAAAGGCTTCACATCTACTTTTCTGTGAGTCTGTTGCTGATGTGGTGAGGAACAGTCCCCAAATCATATTAGTCACATTTAATCATATTAATTGAATATTGTTAATGAGATGTTCCTTGCCATTGCACACACTGGTAGGCTACATCTTCATACGTAATGTAATATCAGTCACAGTCCTCTCTCATGTGTCTGGGCTTGGAATTTATTTCCACCTTACAGAGTGAACTGAACATTCACTAAATGTTAGCAAAAATCAACTGAAAGCATGCATATTATATTTCATCCGAAGTAGAAAGAATTGACTTTTTCTGTGGACCATTCAAAGTCAACATAACAAAACACTGAAGCAAAAATGTATTATTGTTTTGTTCCTAGCTTGACTAGCTTGTTTCTATTATGGCCAAAGGTATGGATGGATGCTGGAACTCAGATCTTCTTCTCTTATGCCATCTGCTTGGGCTGCCTCACTGCCCTGGGGAGCTACAACAAATATAACAACAACTGCTACAAGTAAAGACTGAAATGTTAATGCATTTGGCATCATAACCAGCTACAAAACACTAACTTTGTCATAACAGCCAAATTTTTAGTGCAGACAGTACTGCATGCTATTTTATCTGCCTCTTAACAGTTCCTATTCATTGTATTCTCCTCTCTGTGTTGTGTCCAGAGATTCCCTATGCCTCTGTTTCCTGAACAGTGGTACCAGCTTTGTTGCAGGCTTTGCCATCTTCTCTATCCTGGGCTTTATGTCTAATGAGCAGAATGTACCCATCTCGCAAGTGGCTGAATCTGGTTAGTGGTTCATTTACTTTATGAAAATAAATCATTTCACACAGAGACTGATAAGTATTTCTAATGATTTACTCCACTTCACTTCAATTGATGGTTTTCCTTGAGCTTTCACACGACTTCTTTCTTTTAAACAATCTGACCAGGATGACCAGTAACTGTTATTTTAATGAGAAAAGCACATTTGGACTCTGTCTAATCCAGGTCCAGGTTTGGCCTTCATAGCCTACCCTCGTGCTGTGTCCATGATGCCTTTCTCCCCTCTGTGGGCCTGCTTCTTCTTCATTATGATTGTCTTTTTGGGACTGGACAGTCAAGTGAGAACAATATATGCAACAACATCTAAGATTGCACACATACACAAACATATATACAAATATTTTATACTTGTTGTCTCTCTCCTGATAAGTTTGTGTGTTTGGAAAGCCTGGTGACAGCCATGGTGGACATGTATCCTTCTACCTTCCGCCGTAAAAACCGCAAGGAGCTCTTCATCCTGGCAGTGGCAGTGGTGTCTTTCCTCATGGGCCTCACAATGCTGACAGAGGTTTGATGAAATCACAAGCAGTCTACCGGTCTCAGACTGCCTAAGTCTACTTACTACAATTCCCTTTTAGCAAGCTTCCACCTAAACAGCTGATTTTCCAGCCAACAGTGTCTTTAACTGTGTGCTGTCTGATCTTCTGAACAAACATTTATAATGTGTTGCAGAATTGTCTCTAAGTACAAAATGGATCAGTAGCTTTCATAATATGCAGCATATCATTTTTTGTCTTTATTTGACAGCATGCATGTCTTCTTTAGTTTGGTATACCTACTGTATATGGTTAAAAATGTATGTATGTCCCCACAGGGAGGAATGTACATCTTTCAGCTCTTTGACTACTATGCAGCCAGTGGGATGTGCCTACTTTTTGTGGCTATATTTGAGACTGTTTGCATCGCTTGGATTTATGGTGAGTGGTTAGTCTGGCTATTCAGAAATGTGTGAAGGGAGTATTTAAAATAAAAAGGCTCTATTCTCACTCTTCATTCTCATCCATGACTCATTCTGCCGGCCCATAATTACTGATTTTCATTTGAGATATAGATTGGGAGGCTAAGATTTGGGCAAGGTGTTCTAGTTGTTATTTTAATGTTCAGATGAATAAAATAAATGATAATAAATCAAAAGGTTGAGCAAAATACCACAATAATGTAGTCTAATTTAGATAACTAAAGGGTATTAATACAGTGTTTTCCTTTCTGCTGTTCAAAGAGAGTGAATCTTGACACAGATGATTGTTAGATATTGATGAAAGTCTCCACTGCATTTCCCTGTTCTGTCTCTGAATACAGGTGCTGACCGTTTCTATGACAACATAGAAGACATGATTGGTTATCGCCCTGGTCCTGTCATGAAATACTGCTGGCTTTTTTTCACCCCTGCAACATGCTTTGTGGGTTTCTTATTAATTCTCAACACATTTTTACATAAGTTCCTTGAAAGAAGAGCAGCATCTGGTGGCCAACATTGAAAATACATTTCTATCAGCAAGTATACGCTTAACTGTAAAAAATAAAATATCCTTCATTGTCTGTTTTCAGGGAACATTTGTCTTTTCCTTGATCAAGTACTCACCTCTAAAGTACAACAATGAATATGTATATCCATGGTGGGGCTACGGGATAGGCTGGATTCTGGCTCTGTCCTCCATGTTGTCTATCCCCGTCTGGGTGGCAGTGAAACTGTACTACACCCCTGGAACCATGAGAGAGGTATGCTACACTTCTGCTCTTCTCTTTTTAAATGTAAATGAAGCACTGGTACTGGTTTTGTCCTTTCTTAAGAATGAACTGTAAAGCAATATTGGTGCACAATTATACATACAGTGGGTACGGAAAGTATTCAGACCCCCTTAAATTTTTCACTCTTTGTTATATTGCAGCCATATGCTAAAATCATTTAAGTTCATTTTTTTCCTCATTAATGTACACACAGCACCCCATATTGACAGAAAAACACAGAAT